TGTCTTTGGGATGGACTTTCCCAGGACCCTGGCCCACCCTGAAGAAGCAATTGCTCTGTGTTGGCTAGCTTGAGGCCACTTCTGATAACCAAAGACACATGCTTGTTGGTGCCACAATGGGGGCATGGAGTCTTGAGTCCTTCTTTGCCTGTTGCTGGGTCCATGAACTTGTACCTCGAATGCTTTTCCAGGATGCTGCGGTCAAATATCTCAGGCATAAAGAAGAGAATTTGAGTGTGAGCCGGGAGCTCAAATTCCATGGCTGCTAGAGACTGTTGCTTCTGCCTTCCATCGTTTGTAAATGCCGTTCCCAAAGAAATTCGTAATTTGGGACTGCCCTGGCCTGCAGCTTCGTCCTTTCCTTGCAAGGGCTCTCATAAAAGGGGATGTGACTCCGTGGACTGCTCCCTGTGGGAAATGGTTCTGCAGATGCCGATCCAATTTCCCCGCCACTAGAGGAGTCCAAGCTTTCACAGAGGCACGTCCTTCTTGCAACAGCCGCCAGAACACCATGCCGTTGTCGTCCACCTTGGGGAACCGTCCACTGGAGTACAGGTCCGTGGTCGATACCGCCGGCGCCTCTTTCGTACTCGCACTCATCGTCTTTGGAGGATTGCGATGAAAGCGGATATATCCTCGGCTGCTGCGTGAGTACCTCTGCGGTACGCTCTGCGGCTACTGAATCTGCGCTAAAGCGTAACACACCTCCGCGAAGTACCTCTGCAGCTACTAATGCGGTAAGTACACCTCTGCGAAGTACCTCTGCGGCTACTGAATACGGACGGGATGACCTCGGTTTTATTGTCTTGCTTCACTATCTCGCTCAAATTCGAAATCCTCTGGCGAAATCCTCTGGATGCATGCTCCGTCGGTCTTTCAAAAACAACACGAACAACACCCACGAGAGACTGATCGAGCTGACACAGAGATGCGAATCGTGTGCACGACTGACGTGCTCGCACGATTGACGTCACAGCCGACTGACGTCATCAAAGATCGAACCATTCTGATTGGCTAATCCTCTACGGCAGGTCTACAGCGGTAGTGTATGGATTGGGCCGATGTCGGCATGGCGGTCCCGCTGTACTTTCTGTACCAATCCTTTTATGTTCTGATATGCGAACTACCGCTCCATGAAAATTTTTAAGCTAGTACTATAAAGGTTGAGCCCCCACAGGGGGCTCTGAACCATAAAAGATTGGGCCCCTTGGGCCAACCACCAAGCTAGCTAGCTAGTAGGGAGGGAACGCATGGTCTTCTGGCTTGCCCTCAAAGCACTGCGGCAGAGCCTCCTGCATCTTCGACTTTGTCTTTGGGATGGACTTTCCCAGGACCCTGGCCCACCCTGAAGGAAGCAATTGCTCTGTGTTGGCCTACTTGAGGCCACTTCTGATAACAAAGACACATGCTTGTTGGTGCCCCACAATGGGGCATGGAGTCTTGAGTCCTTCTTTGCCTGTTGCTGCGAGCGTCCATGAACTTGTACCTCGAATGCTTTTCCAGGATGCTGCGGTCAAATATCTCAGGCATAAAGAAGAGAATTTGAGTGTGAGCCGGGAGCTCAAATTCAATGGCTGCTAGAGACTGTTGCCTCTGCTTTCCATCGTTTGTAAAATGCCGTTCCCAAAGAAATCCGTAATTTGGGACTGTCCCTGGCCTGCAGCTTCGTCCTTCCTTGCAAGGGCTCTCACAACAGGGATTGTGACTCCTGGACTGCTCCTGTGGGAAATGGTTCTGCAGATGCGATCCAATTTCCCCGCCACTAGACGAGTCCAAGCTTTTGCAGAGGCACGTCCTGTCTTGCTAACAGCCGCCAAGAACACCATGCCATTGTCGTCCACTTGGGGAACCGTCCACTGGAGTACAGGTCCCTGGTCGATACCGGCCGGCGGCCTCTTTCGTACTCGCACTCATCGTCTTCGGAGGATTGCGATGAAAGCGGATATATCCTCGGCTGCGGTGAGTACCGATACCTTTGCGAAGTACCTCTGCGGCTCCTGAATGCGGTAAGCACACCTCGCGAAGTACCTCTGCGCTACTGAATAGCGCTGCGTAGTACCACCTCTGCGAAGTACCTCTGCGGCTACTGAATACGGACGGGGTGACCTCGGTTTTACTGTCTTGCTTCACTACTGCTCAAATTCGAAATCCTCATGGGAAATCTCTGTCATGCTCCGTCGGTCTTTCAAAAACAACACGAAAACAACACCACAGAGACTGATCGGGCTGACACAGAGATGCGATCGTGTGCACGACTACACGTGCATCGACGATTGACGTCACAAGCCGACTGACGTCATCGAATTAAGATGCGAAACATTCTGATTGGCTAATCCTCTACGGCAGGTCTACAGCGGTAGTGTACGTGTGTTTAGTTGGGCGATGTCGGCATGGCGTCCGGCTGTACTTTCTGTACCAATCGTTTTATGTTCTGATATGCGAACTACCGCTCCATCCTTTATTCAAAACTCCGGTGAAAGTATTACCCCAGGGAATGGGTAAGTCGAAGATGCAGGAGGCTCTGCCGCAGTGCTTTGAGGGCAAGCCAGAAGACCATGCGTTCCTCTCCCACTACTAAGCTAGCTAGCTTGGTGGTTGGGCCCCAAGGGGCCCAATCTTTAGTATGGTTCAGAGCCCCCTGTGGGGGCTCAACCTTTATAGTACTAGCTTAAAAATTTTTCATGGAGCGGTAGTTCGCATATCAGAACATAAAAGGATTGGTACAGAAAGTACAGCGGGACCCCCATGCCGACTTCGGCCCAATCCATACACTACCGCTGTAGACCTGCCGTAGAGGATTAGCCAATCAGAATGGTTCGATCTTTGATGACGTCAGTCGGCTGTGACGTCAATCGTGCGAGCACGTCAGTCGTGCACACGATTCGCATCTCTGTGTCAGCTCGATCAGTCTCTCGTGGTGTTGTTTTCGTGTTGTTTTTGAAAGACCGACGGAGCATGCATCCAGAGGATTTCGCCAGAGGATTTCGAATTTGAGCGAGATAGTGAAGCAAGACAATAAAACCGAGGTCACCCCGTCCGTATTCAGTAGCCGCAGAGGTACTTCGCAGAGGTGTACTTACCGCATTCAGTAGCTGCAGAGGTACTTCGCGGAGGTGTGCTTACCGCATTCAGTAGCCGCAGAGGTACTTCGCAAAGGTACCGGTACTCACCGCAGCCGAGGATATATCCGACTCAGTTGCTTGGGCCCTCGGGCTCGATTCGTACCAGCGTTGACAAAGGTCCTCCGGACCAGATAGGTAGTCTGCCTAAAACTAGTACTTTTTATATATGCAGCCGAGGATATATCCGCTTTCATCGCAATCCTCCGAAGACGATGAGTGCGAGTACGAAAGAGGCGCCGGCCGGTATCGACCACGGGACCTGTACTCCAGTGGACGGTTCCCCAAGGTGGACGACAATGGCATGGTGTTCTTGGCGGCTGTTAGCAAGACAGGACGTGCCTCTGCGAAAGCTTGGACTCCTCTAGTGGCGGGGAAATTGGATCGGCATCTGCAGAACCATTTCCCACAGGGAGCAGTCCACGGAGTCACATCCCCTGTTATGAGAGCCCTTGCAAATAAGGACGAAGCTGCAGGCCAGGGACAGTCCCAAATTACGGATTTCTTTGGGAACGGCATTTACAAACGATGGAAGGCAGAGCAACAGTCTCTAGCAGCCATGGAATTTGAGCTCCCGGCTCACACTCAAATTCTCTTCTTTATGCCTGAGATATTTGACCGCAGCATCCTGGAAAAGCATTCGAGGTACAAGTTCATGGACCCAGCAACAGGCAAAGAAGGACTCAAGACTCCATGCCCCCATTGTGGCACCAACAAGCATGTGTCTTTGGTTATCAGAAGTGGCCTCAAGCTAGGCCAACACAGAGCAATTGCTTCCTTCAGGGTGGGCCAGGGTCCTGGGAAAGTCCATCCCAAAGACAAAGTCGAAGATGCAGGAGGCTCTGCCGCAGTGCTTTGAGGGCAAGCCAGAAGACCATGCGTTCCTCTCCCATTACTAAGCTAGCTAGCTTGGTGGTTGGGCCCCAAGGGGCCCAATCTTTATGGTTCAGAGCCCCCTGCGGGGGCTCAACCTTTATAGTACTAGCTTAAAAAAATTTCATGGAGGGCCCCACTTCTTCACAGAACATTAAAAGATGCACCGAGGCACATGGATAGTCCTTGCATGGATAGTAGTCCGCTCCATGCTGGTCACGTACTCCGTTCGATTACATCTCGAATGGAAAACAAATCCACATCAATGGATGCTTGCATGCCACCAGGAACATTGGCTGGTTGATAGAAGCTTGCAGTTGGAATTTGAATAACCATCTGATTGGCAGCTGTGACCCCGAGTCCAGGTCCATTCATGGGCACTCCAAAGTCAAAATGCTGAGCAAAATTGTTGTAATCATTCACTGCAGGGGGGGCCGCTTGCTCATAGCGCCATGCCTCCATTCGACGGGAGTTTCCACGAGTGACACGAGGGGGTCCAATCTTGATTACAATCACTTGTTGGACGGCAAAGTTTGGATTGTTGCTTGCATTTAACCAAGCAATAGCCTTTCTGCGGGCATGAGGTGCAGATTCATCGTAAGCAACTTCCACAATGAAGTTGGGAAAACGGTTTCCCGTGGCATCTGCAGCACCAGGTTGTCCCGGACCTGGGCGTTGAAATTTTTCGCTAACAGAACCATCTGGTCCAAATGAGTTAACGCCGTTGTTGTCATCGCACCGGGGAGAGCTGGCCATGATAACGTCATCTGCATGTGCACCCATCCCCATGGTTATTCGCTTAATCACTTCCGCTGCAGCTCTGTCATGCGCTGCATGAGGGAGCTCGTAAATCCAGGCCTTTCCCTTTCGGAACTCCATCCGAAAGCACCAACGAATCCCAGCCTGCTCAGATTCGCCTTTCTCGATCTCATCACACTTCTTATGGAAGTCCTCTAGCGAGATGTCTTCTGCAACACAAAAACCTTTATCGCTGCCAAGCGCTTCTGCCCGTTGCTCTGGCGTCATGTCTTCGAATCGCTGGAGTTGATCAGTCCATGCAGTCTTTGCTTTCTTGCGAGAGCTGGTAGAGGCGACTTCCTGAGAGCTGGTAGAGGCGACTATCCGCTTGATGGAAACCGCGGCAGATCTCGTTCTTGGCCTACTGGTGCCCCCAACGATTTCCGCCGCCATCTTCAGTGCTTGTTGGCAACACAAAGCAACCAAACTAAGTTATCGTGTGCGGCAGCAAAATAAGATATCGTGTGCGGCAGCGTGAGATTGTCTTGTGTAGCAACGTGTACTAGTACAGGCTGAATCCAAACTATCAAGACAAACGCAAGCCCGCTCCCGGTATGCGAACCCCAACGTCCTGGAGCCTTCCTCGAAAAGACTTAGAGGACTCGTATGACCTCAACCTTAAACCTCAACTGACATCACTCGGATCGCGATCGATCCAAGCCACTCGTATCCTCCTCTTTTTCATTACTTCGATCGATACCTCTATCTTTACTCTATCAAGATGATGCTTCCTCCTCTTCTTTACAGCGGCTACTCCTCTTAACAAAGGCTACTACTCACCACCATGACAGGCTCCTTTTCTTTGCCTAGCTAGCAGCAGCGGCAGCCGTTCGACGATCCGTTCGCCGTATCGATTGATGATTCGGTGGATGACTTCTTTCTTCTTCCACGGAGCCTCTCCACGGAGCAACCTTTACGCCTCCTCTTCCATGGAACGACAACGCCTCTACCGCTAATGCAACAACAAGCGACCAATACTCCTAGAACAACAAGCGATGGCAACAAATGACTACTACTACCGCGACGCCTCGACAATATTTCTTCCGATCTGTATCGGAGCGATGAATTGTCCTCTCGATCGATCGACGAACGCCACTTGCTACAAACAAGGCTTCCGCTGCTGCTACTGCTACTACTAATGCAACAAACAGCAGGTACTCTACTACTATATTGACTTGCCGACTGACTACAAACAAGAAATCTTCTCAATTTTATGAATTCAAGCCAACAATCCCTTTGAATCTTTGGGATGGGTGCTCCAGTCTTCATGCAGGCAGAGCCACCCACTTCTCTACCAGACTCTTACAGTGCAGATTGAGTGCTGAGAGTGAGGATAAGAGCACCTTTCCCATGGAGAAATGCATGGCAGAATGACAACAAAATGGAATCCAAGCCTGACTTTTCCTGGATGCTCCATAGGAAACCTTGGAGATAGCAAATCCTTTTTGAGGAGTGGCTCTGTGAGTGTGTTGGGGCGCTAGTCCTAGAAAAGGATTTGCTATCTCAATGTATTGGTAAAGCTAATGGCCATTTGGTCAACTCTGTTGCCATGGTGATAAAATTCATTTTCTTTTCTTCAATCTGTTCTTTGTGGGAAGCAGTCATTGCTATGCAGGATTCGCAAAATGACCACTTCTGTTAGAAATGACCGCTTTTGATTTCGGTTTGGCCAAAACGAGAATCCATTTTGACACCTGTCAGCGGTAAAAGAAGTCATCCTGTATGGTTCAGTACGTACATGTAGAAGATGGAAAATGCACAGAAGTTAAGAGCAGGCCCTCCTACAGAGATTCTGACACCAAAGCTGTGACGCGCTTGCGCTCGAAGTGCAATTGTACGTACTAGTAGGTTAGCGCCTGGGATCTATCTCTATTCCTAATGAGCAAAGAAGCCGGCTGCAGCTGTCAGGTTCTCAGGACCCTTTGCCTATGTATGGTACCAGCTGCTGGCGGGACTCATTATTAGATCTTGCAATCTTGAGTTTTTTTTTTAATGAGCAAAGGAAGCTGCGATCTGATTGGTGGCCTATTAATAGATGAGATCGACCTCACCTCGGTGCCACGTCCCAAGCACTGAAAACTATATAGTAGAAGCCTTTTTTTGGGACCGCCTTTAATTTAAGATTCCCCTTTACAAGTACTGAAAGCTATATAGTAGAAGCCTTTTTTGGGACCGCCTTTAATTTAAGATTCCCCACAAAAAAAAAAGATTTAAACCCAGCGGCCCCATTCAAAGCAGCCACTTGATCCTTGACAGCGTAGATGCATATATTTAACGCTCGGAGTCCCAAAATCTGGGAGACCCCACTCCCAAAATCTGGGAGACCCCACTCCCAGATTCTGAGAGTCTCTACTGGTAGGTGTGGTAAATATTGGGTCAGATTTCTATTTTATTCCCGCATCTACCTGAATATCCTGTCTTCCAGGAAAATCGATGCCTTTGAATTGTCGGATGAGTCTGCCTGCACGTACAAAGGAGGTTCTGTTAAACCGCTTGTTGCATTAGTAGTACTGTAGTCCCTTGTTGTTTCATTAACGGTAGAGGCGTGCGTCGTCGTTCCGTGGAAGAGGAGGCGTTATGGTCACTCCGATCGATGGATCGCTCCGTGGAAGAAGAAGAAGAAGTCGTCGGAAGTCGGGCAGTTCGACCAATCGTCGAACGGCTGTCGCTGCCGCTGCCGCTAGCCAAACAAGAGGAGCCTGTCATGGTGGTGAGTAGTAGCCTTTGTTAAGAGGAGTAGCCGCTGTGGAAGAGATAGCATCATCTTGATAGAGTAAACATAGAGTAAAGGTATACTGGTAGAGGTATCGAGTTCGCAGGACGGGGTGACTCCCAGAATCTGGGAGTGGGGTCTCCCAGATTTTGGGAGGGTGAGCGTTAAATATGGCAACACATGTAAACGTCTACATGAAGTGATCGCACGCTGAGAGCACCCAAAACCTCCTCGTAGTCTAGCTAGAGGCTGGTAAAATTGGCAATAGCCATAGAACAGCCTCACGGCGACTGAGCGTCCACTTTGCTCTAACACCCGCGAAGCTTTTTACCAACTTCATCGTCTTTCTCTGCCTCCTCAGTCAGTGAAATGCTTTGACGTCCCGGACTCCGCTGTTAGAGGAGAGCTTGATTAGATGCTTTCAACAGTAGCAATATTTAGAGCCATGTAATCAAATTTCAGAGAGGCGGGTTGCAATACCCCAAAAAGTAGTATTTTAACCTCTTTTGACAGCTATTTTGCTCGAGGGAGGGAGGGAGAAATAAAGGTACAAGGGTGCGAAAAATAGAGGGGACAGATCATGGATTTAAAGGGGTATCTGTCTGTACGTCGTCGGTATTCTCTTTTTCTTTCTTTTTCTTTTCTCCTCCTGGAGGGGCTCCGGTGACGTCAGGTTCAGCGAGCATCGCTGGATATGAGTCCCGCACTCTAACCCGCAAAAACTCGTGCTTGTGTACGTCCAACCCGAAATAACCCGCACCCTCTCGCATTTACCCGTGATTCGTTACTCACAATCTAGTCACAAACCCGCATTCACCCGCACGAACCCGCACAAACCCACGAAGACCCGTTGCAGACTCGCATTAACCCGCACGCGGGTTGAAACAACGGGTTTTCGCGGGTTGATGATGGCATTGCTTTCAGTTTTTGGGGGTACCGAGTGTGACGTAAGCGGAGCCCCTCCTGGAAAGAACCAAAGCGGATCAAGACCTCTGTGCACCTGGAAACGACGAGGAAAAGAATGCCCCGCCGTATTGCTGGCTTAAAACTTACCGTGGTCGGCCATTGCAACACTGGAACGCTCTTGTTTGTTGTCGCCGCTGTGTTTTGCTCTTGCGCTCTTGCTATCATCTGTATGAAGAAGGTATTATTACTGCTTCTATCTTGCTTGGGAGTATCACATCCTAGTCAGACTTTTCACACTTTTTCTCTGGTCGCCAAAGCACGCCTTTCGCCTCCCTTTCGAAGCCACCATCGTCGTCGTTGAAGAATGCAGGCAACAATCCACTTCCACAGATTGAATCCTTCGAAGATTCGATTCCTCCCATCTCATCTTCACTTCCTGTTCAGATCGCCCCATTCTCACTTCATTGGAAATCAGTTCAAGCACCGTAGAGAATTGCTCGAAAATGTTGCAAACTCTCAGCATCTTCCGACACCTCCAAACAATAATCACCAGCCACCTCACAGTTCGGTGGTCCCGTATCGATGGATGCAAACAATGGAGGTTCCGGGCTGGTTGAAAGCAAACATTCACACCCCGCCAGCGACAACAAGAATTTTCCTCATTCTAACATGAGGTTGGAGGCCTCGGTGTGGCCTGTCGGCGCGATCCATTCCCTCTGCGGTCTACGAGAGAGTTGGAGAGTTAGAGAGAGAGAGAGAGAGCGAGAGAGAGACGCGGACACAGTCCCATCATTCCCATTCTGCGACAAACGCCGGCATCCTTGGTGTCGGCATATCCACTCTACCGTTGACAGAGATTGTGACCCAACAGCTCTTGCGTACAACAACACCGTCATCGCGACGTGTCACTCTAGCAAGTGATGCCGCTCATCCCGTGTCACCCTTCAAGAGACAAGGAGCCAATCAAGCATTGCTGAATGCTCTATTCTTGGAACGAACTCTTTACAAGAGCTTCAACAACAAGCACGAAAATGCTGACGACAGCAACGACGATGCGTCACCTAGAACGTTTGACAGCAATCTTGGAAAGGTACAAAGAGGAAATTTTGCTGGCTATTATTAGCTAGGTACCGATAGGTCCTTCGACAAGGTGGATGCCTCCGCGAAGCCGGAGCGCTTTCCTTCACACTCAAGTGCCATCCAACAAGGAAACGTGACAAGAGGGTCAACAGTAAATAACTGCCTGGGCCGAATGTGTTAGGCAATGGGCAGTTTTGCTCATGGTTCACGTTGGGCGCTTGGAATGTCAGTTTCTGTGCAGTCGGAGCCAGGGCAATTTTCCCTGTCCCGCGATCTTGCCTCCCAAAGGCGAACTCGAACAACCACAGCCCGCCACCTCCAGCTTCTCCAAGGGCTGGGTATCAAAGGGAACGTGATACGACTGCGCTCGCTTGAAAATAGTGCGCACGAAAGTCAGGGGCAGGGGGACAAACTCCTTCTTGGCTTCTTGGGAAGCTCTGGGCGGGCGGGATCTCAAAATTTGGTGCAACACCCTTCCAACTTCCAAGCTGCGCTAGCTAGTGCTCACTGCTCACTCGCCCGGTACCAGAGACCAGAATACCTGGTACTAGACTATGCATAGCTCTAGAGCTGCTCTAGCTAGTAGATACCGGTAGAGCTGGCCACTCAGTAGCCCCGTACGGTACAGTCGTAGCGGTAGCTCCCCGCCCATCCAAGACCCGTAGGAAGTACGAGTAGTACATGTCATGTACCGGTGGCGCCATCAGCGGCATGTAGGTACCGTGGTACCGGTACTGGTAGACACCTGGTAGTCATCCAGCAAACGAAGCAACGCCGCCAGAAAGTCGTTTTCGCGATGTGTGAATTGAAAAACAATTGGCATCTTTTCCCCTTCATTGAAGTTCAATTCATAGTTCGCGCGCGACCACTTGTGGGGCACAGTCTTGACAGTGTCTTAACAATGCCTTCTCTTGTCGGTATAAGCCGAACAGCGCAGCAACGGACCGGCTTCTGGTCTTCTTGTCTTGTTATTGAAACGCGAGTTCAAAAAACGAGAAGCCTCAGTGGTAAGCATGAAAGTTTCCACCCACAGACTCGCAGGGGTTGTCGGGAGAGGACAAAATTCTCGTTCGACGCAAATGAAGATGAAAGTTCACAACGAGTGAGGACATATTTATTTATTTGACACAACGTCCGCTTTTACGCGCTGAATAGTACTAGTAGTGATCAATGTATCTGTGTTGGTGGCCAAAGGCAGTATCAGTCGGGAACTTACTTGTGCGCGGTTTATGTTCCTAGATGAGGCTTGTTGCTCGCTCCGAGTGTAACGGTGAGCCAACCCTGTAACCTGCCCCTCTTGGGCGTGCTAAAACAATACCGGTAAATGTTGCTGATTCCGGTGGCTCCAGGTAGAGTCTAGACTAGCCAACCAGAAACATTTAATGGAAGAAGCAGCTGTGCATGGACATTGGGGCCTGGGGCTCTAGAGCTGCTTGGAGATAGACTGGAGACCTCGCTCTATAATGCAACTGGAAAGAGTTCCAGCAGACTAAGACATAAACCATAAACGGATGTAGTCTATAACCTTTAGAAAAAGAAGCTGAACCCAAGAAAAGAATCTGAATCTTTCCTTGTTGTCTTGACACAACATACGATAAGACACACTGAGAATCCGAATCTGGAGCTACAACAAGCAAAACATGACATAATAAACTCAGATATAAGAAAGCAATACGGCACAGTCCAAATGGTACGGATCAGAATTGGAGGAGAAATAAATCCAGTAGTCTAGACTAGCTAGCTAATCTAATGAGAGATTATAGAATCATACGGTACGATTCCAGCAAGGAGTGGCTGATAAAGTAACGTACTACTCTGAGCTCAGAATCGCCAGTGACACTGGTTCAATCTATCCTCTATTGCCCGACTCTTTCTTCTAACTGACTCGACTCATCATGCTGGGCTTTCTTTTGGCACATATCGGCATGTCATGCAGGAAGAGTGACCCATTCAGTGCACCTGGCCATGGGACCAACAAGTCTAGATAGAGGACTTCGTTCCGGCTTTAACTGCTGAAGTCAAATCTGAAATATAAGTCTAGCTAGGAGCAATAGGTCTGCTGGCTCCGATAAAAAGACAGTGAGTAACAGTACTGGTATTGGAGGAAAGAGAAAATGCTTTCTTATCATCAAGTTATTAGCGTATCAAATCGAAAGATATTTTCTTCCTCCACATCTTCTCTTCTTTCAAAGTTGAACCAGAAGCTCTACGTCATTACCTCCGTCATCTTTCGAGAAGGAGATAAGATCCAATACGACCCCTCTCGCATTATGAGACCTTTACCCGAAATGTTCTCCACGATGAGATCTGGACTCAGCGTTCCAAGTTCCAAGACGAATTTCACAAGTAAGTTCGAGTTAGCGTGTTCTCATCAAAGTTCAAAAGAGACTTATTTTAATACATGTATAATAGTAAGCAGAGAAGAGGGTCATGAAAACGAATGGTGTTGGGTTTCGATTGTACAGAACTTGGATAGTAATTGCATCTTCCGAACTCTGGTTTACCTTTTACCTCCTTATTACTTTGCGGTAAATATCGCCAATGACAAAGTGGAGTTCCAACACGTGCAAAAGAGCTTACGAAAGCAAGCACGTTTCCCGTGATCTCCTAACTGAAAGAGTGATTTGGTGTTTTCCTCTTCGTGATGCAGCAGAGATGATGTTCTTCCCAGCAAAGCTCCGAGCTCATCACGAGTCCGATCAAAACCACATTTCACTCCCCAAAAACATCCTTCAGCTGACACACAAATATTATTCTGCAAGCCATCAAGACTTCTGTCAACATCGCATCACTCTCTCTAACTCTCCGCTGAAACAACCAAACCAAGATGACCAAAGACCAAGAGATGCTACCGTACGTGGGCTTCACTGTCCAAGCCAGTTTGGTCAGGATCCTGGCGGAGGGCAACGGACTGCCAATGGATTACCACGCTGCCGGTGACATTCCAGCACGCCGGAATCCGAATCCAGTACCTCTCAATCGACATGATATCAACGATATGATCCGCGATGTTTTGGATGTACTCGACGAAGACGATGACCTGAGCGGCAGTTCATCGTCCACGCCGAGGGCCCACTATCACCATGGAGATGAATCTTCATCATCGTCGTAAGTCAGGGAGAACTTTCTCTCCCCCGACACACACAAGAGTTTTTTGCTTCCTTGGTTCTTTCCAAAGACGATCTATATTGTGAAAAAGAAAGCGAGTGAACCGGCGTCAGCTTCCAGCTCATGGTCCTGGTCTATACCGGCACTCACCAACGTTCCCATTGTACAGACCAAACGCAAAGAGTCCCTCCAGAAAGATCAAGAGCCATATCATTGGAGCATCGGCATCTATAGAAGCACGTAACCACATAAACTAAAAAGTATTACAGTATCATCCACCTATGAATACATATGCACTCTTGTTTCGCTTGGTCGCCTTGATCGGTTCGGTCTTGCTGGAACGGCGCTGCTGGTCGATGTCGTGACCAACCAGCTAAAAGCTACATCATTGTCGGCGATCATACGATGCATGCGGACATGGTCATCGCCGGTATCACTCTAGCTACATACATGTAGCACGGAAAACATTCCTTGCACACGCGTTAGATTCGATTCCGTCCGATTCATTGGCGCTGCGGGGGCAGCCGCAGCCACACAGTTGCTGGAGGCAATCGAATGCAAGCACACGTTGGCTGTTGGGACTAATAAATGGGGAGTGTACCACGCACAGGAAGGATGATGCGCAAGAGGCCGAGATCTGTTGGATTGTGCCATTCGAATTCGTGGCATTCAGATAACCCCAACTTTGGCATGGATGCTTGCTCCCAACGGAGAAGCGGAGAAGTCAAGTTCAACCAACAGAGACAGCAACAAACTGAGCTCCCGACGGTAGTGAGCCAGTCCACGAGTTCATTCCAAGTACGGTATGAGTTGACTCATCTGTGACATTCTGCCAATCGCAATCAATTGAAAGTGCACCTGACAGTCCATTGTTGTGCAGTGTAACATCAGCGCGTCAGCGCCATAAACTTTGGAATCACCGTCACTTCAACAGGGAAAGGGCCCAGAATGCATTGTGTGTAAAGGAAAGCTCCCACAGGCGGGTTTGTCAACGAGCCTTGCAAAGATCAGTCAGAGAGCCCAACTCACCAGGGAAGACACCGGTCAGTAGATTGGGCGCCAACAAGAGATCCAACACTACCGGTACAGTCTCATTGGGAATTACACCGCGGAGACAGTTCGAAACGAAAGCTGAGCTGCTTTAGGTGGGCCATCTGTGTCACATCTGTTGTCAATAAATAACGAGGTTAGTGGTGCTTCGATGTTGCTGTTTCGCAAGGAAATGGCAGACAATGATGTCGAAAGAGGAATTTCTGGGGGTACAAAAAGGCTCCGCCCAGAGAGTTGTATATTCCCAGGACCAAAGCCTGGAATTCGCTCCCCATCGTCACAGCAAGGGGTCACTTCATGGGCGATTTGAGGCACACATTTTCCTATTGGATCAAACTGTCCGCACTAAGTGAGTGGACAGTGGATAGCCACAAGCATTCATTCTTTGGAATGTTGCAGCCATTTCTCTCGCGGAATAAGTTTGGGCCCATAGCTTCCTTCGAAGGCATAGCCAAGGCGAAAAGCTGCTTGCAACTTTCAAAATCTGCAAAGTTGGGATGGTTGGAAATCCACTCCATGGCCATCCACTGAGGTGTGGCGTGCTTCTGAAGGGTTTCACGGGTGTGAGCTGTGAGATCGTGAATGATATCCTCAACTGCGTTGTAGAGTAGAAAAGTTGGAGGCGTTGAAGGTGATGTTGTTGATTCCTGAAGGGGCCATGGAGGGCCACGCCGAGGGTTGATCAGACACGGCGCTGCTGCTACTGAACAAGACTCCTAGCACGCCGAATGCCAACAGCGGAAGGTACAGCAGTAGATCAGGATACCCCAACCAAGCGTTCCATTACGGCGTTCCTGTACCGGTTCCTTGACGACCCACACATCATACACATCCATAGCCAACTCGCACCTCGCACATCTACCGGTACCGCAAACAATGTCATGTTGACTGTTTGCGCAGATCTACTTTACCACTATCTCTCGTCTGCATCTCCACCACCATCTCCACCCAAGCGTGGTGGTGGAGCTGCGTGCTGCACCATTAGGGCCAGCACCAAACGTCATGACGGCCACAATGCCTCTGTTTTGCAATTCGGATACGAACACAAGTCTTCTGCTATCTCATTGTCCATGTAAACTATCCTTTCAATATTAGAATTAGTTTAATATGTTTTGGCCATTACAATAATTGCCAAAAAGGCATAAGTATGAATTATGGGTTCATTCATCATTCTTCAGCCATAACTACCCATCGTTGAGCTGTATTTGTCTGATAATGTGATGTGATATGTAGCAGGAGTCGCCTTGCGCTCGCTGTGCCTCTTGTACCAATACCGTACGTACATACAGTCCTTTGGATCGTCTCTTGCCTGGCCAATACACGTACGTGCCAATCCAAAAGCTCCTATTACAAAGACAATCCTTCCTCAATTCTTCGGCTGGCCTGTTGTGGGCCGGCCGGCCGCACGATCGGTCCGATCCCGACTCTGGAGCCTGGATTCTGACTTGCTTGCTGCGTTCGCGTTCTTCCACTGTCGCAAATCTACGTGAAGCAACCGGTATGAGCCGAGTTGAGCCTATATGCCTCCAGAGAAGAAGAGTTTTTGGAAATAGCCACCGCGGCGGTGGTATCCGACCTGGTCATTTTGCCCCACATACAGCGCAATTCTTGTACGACCGCCGACTTTCTCTTGGCATGTGCCGTCGATGGGGGCATTGGCTCCAACGATGGAGCCTCCAACAGAGAGGACGCCGTAGTGGGTGCTGTCCAGCACAAGGAATCATGTCCGCCCAATAGACTGGCCTCGCCCGCGGACTTGTTTCGCCGATGCTGGCGAGGTGACTGCGTCTGATGGTGCCATTTGCTGCCCTTTTTGGTGGTGACCGATTTGGTAGTAGTGGGCGTCATGGTACGTACCAGCGTCGTTCGTCGAGGCGTTGCATGACGAAAGGACGGCGCGTGACTGCTGTGGCTATGATTCATACTCAACAAGGTTCCACCGGGAGATGGAGGTGGAAACACTTGCTTCGTAGTAGTAGTAGTAGTACTCGTAGACTGAGGGGTTGTTCGAGTGGGAAACAGGGCCGCACAAGACGCGCTCTTGTGCCGTCCAATGGTTGGTCGGGGATTGGCAGGGGACGGCACTCCCGTCCAGACGTGTGGGGGCATGCAGGGCTGTGGTTGTAGCATTCCCAATGTTCGTGGTGTCATGATACTAGCACGGGGAGCGAATGGATCCACAGGCGCCATGGGCTGTGCATTCCAATGTTGCTCGACATAATGTCGGTGTGGTCGGTAAGGCATCTGAGGGGGCAACGGCAGGTGATTTTCGGCCGTGTTGTCATCGTCTGTCAGGGTGGTAGCCGTGTTGGTTTGCTTGATGCTGTCACAGCCCTCCTTATCCAAATCGTCCTTATCATCATTTTCCAAGATGGAATCACTACCGGTATTGGGCACATCATCATCATCATCATCAGTGCCCAACAACCAATCCGGAATTTCTGCTTCGACTCGAAACGAAATCACCTTGGGAGGGGCAAAGGGTTGCTCCGGCGTACCTGCCGCTTGCATCTGCTGCTGCTGTTGCTCTTGCTGTCTACTAGCAGGCGTTGCCGGGGGCCTCTTGAAGGATCCATCCCCCAGAGATGAGACCGTAGAGGGACAATCTACCGTCTCTTCTGCTGCTGCGAGCGATTGTTGCTTGACCGCCCGCTTGACGGCATCAGGGGTATACTGCAAGTGACATTCCAGAAACGGATTATCATCGTCCAACAGTAGCGAGGGTAAGTTCAGGTTGTTCATTCGAAGCGTGTCTTCCGTGTCCAAGCGGCCTCGTCCCACAGGAACTACAGGAGTCTTGGGTTCGTTAGGCTGCTGTTCTTCCTTGGGCTGTCTCGCCATGGGCTTATCCGCGGGCATGGGGCTAGTTTTAGCACTACTACAATTGCGATGAAACGCCCGTCTCATCAGGGGAGACAATGGCGGGGCACCGCCCGATCTTTGGCGCGAAAACAACTTCTTCGTCATGGCGCTTGCTTGCTCTGCTTTTATTGAAGCTTTGTGAGGAGATTGGGAGGTTTCCTCATGTAGGGAACGACGCTTGCTTTCAAATTCAGTTCAATTCAATACCAGATTATTATCGGCGGCTGATACGTGTTTGCTCTGCTTGGGAGAGGTTTGCTGGTCTTGTTTGATGTTTTGTTGGCTGCAATGCATCGATTGATTCCCCTTTCTTACTGGGTATAAAATCAGCGATGGATGCAAATGAATGAGGTTGCTGGTGGCGATGGCTTCGATCTTGTTTGAAAGTCTGCCGTTGCACAAATACGACTCGACTCACGAAAACCACTGAGCTAGCTACTAGCTAGTGGTGAGGTCACATAGCCAAGTACGCACCTCTGGTACAAAATGTACGGCTTCGTTCTGCGGTGAGGATTTACTGGAGAAAGCCTGCCGATCGTTTGAGGTCTTAATGTACCCGGCAAGATCATTAACATATCTTCAGATCGAAGATATCCATTGGTTTTAAGTCCTCTTCCCCATAAATCCACTGTCAAGTTTTTTACAGTACCAGTTCCAGCGACATTCTCTAAGAAATATTGGCCAGGTTCCAGATCTGGATTCAGATGACTGGCGCACCTTAACCAGCCGGCAGACGCGTCGTACGCGGTTCAGGAAAGTTCCAGATCGCCAACGGAAAATTCTCCAGACTTCCGCCTCTCGATCTCGAGGTCGACAATCGCTCGACCAAGCCCACGCCCAAGCCAGTCCCTCCTTCCCATTTCAACAGAGTTCGCAAGTTCGCAACACCGTGCAATCTTCGCTTGTGTGACATTCACATTGTCGCTACATATCGCGGCAGTTTTGGAAAGATTCGGCCCAGCCAGCCCTGCAACTAGCCAGGAGTTAGCAGCTCTGGTGGTAGGAGGGAGCTACTAGCTGAGCCAGCTCTAGCTAGTGTCCAGCATTTCACCAGGGTAAACACGCGCCACCAGCCAAGATGGTCTTGACAACAGAGGATCCGGGAAGGTAGTGGCTGACTACATGTATGGCTCTACGGAGCATTAGAAATGAACTCAAAAATATGATTACATTAGGCCAACATCATGTGCCTAGCTGGCTACAAGCTGTAACTTGTTGAATCTTTGTCGTCTGCTTGAAGTTCAAGCAAAGGAGTAGCTTCTCCACGACCGCGAGACGTCCTGCGAGTATCCACAAGCTGTACAGTTCCATCACCTGACCGTCGTGACATGACATTTTGTTTTCGCACTGAAGCGAAAGCGTACAATATCACCAAAAATGCGGCGGCCATTGTAGCAATCTCAAAGGAAATGGGTTCTTTTCCGCTTGGACTGGACACCGCCATTAGCCATTGCTTAGTTTCTCCATGTTTTTCTGCCTTGTCAGTGGGGGAGTTTGCAGGACACCGCCACTCGTGTGCAATGAACTCAAACCAAAAGTCCGCAGTGTCTAATGGTTCCCCGTTGTGCCTCTTGTGATGTATCAGATACGGCATTCGACTACCACTTGCTGGATACACTGGCCTGTTGCCCTCAAAGCAACCATCCACATCCGTCTCGCCGGTCGCCTCGAGCGCCGACTGAACTCCCCCCATCACCCTGCCAATTTCAAACTCTGTCGTATAAAGGTCAAATCTCTTTGTGCTGTCTACACTGGTCGGATCAGGGCGATCACCCGCTACACCGAAGTTCAAAAGATCCCAGTATCCACTTGGCTCATCCACTTGCAAAACCACAAATACTTGGTTCAATTGTTGCGCCGTCAAACTGCAGCCAATTTGCCACACAGGATTGTCGAATGGGGATACGGCCACAATGTCATCCACTACAACCACAGGGGCAAACAAAGAATACCTCAAAGCTCCCGTGCCTTGCATGAAAATGGGAGTGATACCATCCTCCTTCTGCACCATCCGCAACAGTGTCTTTGGAACAACTTGTTGCGTGTACAACCACCACAAGGAAGTCTCATCGTCCGGTGCCTTTTCGAGATGATAGTCCTGAGGAGCACAATGTGTAACTACATCCAGGAGGCCCAGCTTCTCTTGCAAATGCTGCATTTCCTTTGTCAAAGCCCGCCCACGGTGTGTTGAAAAGTCTGCATTGCTCTTTAGAACCGTTGTCGCCAGTTCTTCCAAATTCGTATTGAGCATGCGGTATTGGTATAAGTTTGCATCGATTGCATTTGATTTTTGTGTTTGTTTCATAGGCAAGCTGGCAAATCCAATTGTATCCATATACCGTCCTGCTTCCAAGGAAACAGCCAGTGGATCCAAAACCTCATAATGCCGTCGATGGGTGTGCCCCGTGAGGAAATGAATGGGCATGTCGGGACCTACCAGAGCACGAATAGCACTCAAGATGGTGTACACCAGAGAATCCACGGCATCCATGTGCGCCATGACAATGACGGCGTCGAATGTGGATTGTGTCAATACTTGGTGGAACCAATCTTCCTGCAAGGTTTCCTCCACGAATTGAACCTGGGTGTTGTTGCAGTTGTTCAGAAAGTTGTACAGAAATCCAAGGGTCAAGATGGTGGAATTTCGGTTGGCTCCATGCAGAAAGGTATAGCGATTACCCAGAGGTACCGTCTTGATGTCACCTTTCTTATTTTTCTTTTTTTGGTGAGGGACAATATAATCCACATTGGATGCCAAATAGTTTCCTTTCCAATGGTCAACGAATCCATTCTTTTCCATCATGTAGTCGACCACCTCAGTAAAGTAGAGCTCATGATTGCCGACATTCACCGCCGAAAAAGGCATTTCTGCCAATAGCGGCGCCAAGTGCTCGGGTGGTACAGCCGACAAGCCAGTACCCTGTTTGGACAAAATTGAACTGATGAGAATTGATACGCCAATGACAACAACTAACTGTGGCATCACTATTGAAGGGAGGCACTTACATCCATAAAGTCCCCATTAAAAAACAGAAAGAAGTCTTCCTCTGGAGCACACTCCTGTAATCGTTCGTACAAGGATACCAAGGCACCAAAATCCAAATTCATCTCGGGTTCGTGGCGGGCATGTTGGCCAGCAATCCAGCCGTGAATGTCCGTGACGACCAATAAATTGATATCGCCCAAAGGTAGACCCAAGGAATCAGGACATGTGAATTTGCTCTCTTTTTTTCTGCTTTTACGGGTCAGTCGTCGGGTCATGTCCGGACTCATTTGAAGATTCGCAGTGTTGGTTTGGACAGAGGCGCGGCCACAAGAACATCCTGATGCCAGCAACAGCAGCAAAAGCAGCAGAGAGCCAGTGCCACAAAGGGGCTTTGGAATCATGATTATCCTACAAGCAACGATGCAGCCAAAATTGGGTTGCCGATAACAGTGGTCACGGAGACCAAGCAATAGAGCCACCGTGATTCTTCGATTGGCAATAATGAGGCAAGTTTCCAGTAACAGCCAAATATCCAGTTAGGTGACGTGTTTCTAAGGCGCGAATAACTTTATGCTTTCCATTCATGCTCTCTTCTTTGCCCCCGCCAAGCAACCATGTTTGGATCGGATCTCCAAACTTGCGCCACCTACAAAAGTATTGATGAGGATGTTTTTGGCCTGCAAGAACCACAAACAGCACATGAAATTGAAGAGAACCAACTTGACAGGTCATAGCAAACAAATCGAAGCAACCATGAATTGCACACAAACGATAGAGTGTGCGAGGGGCTTTGAACCGGGTGCTTGCGCGTCCCTCTTCCCCGAAGAATCCAGCAAGCTTTTCAAGGCGGCCGAGATCCACGGCTACTGCGGGATTTCTCGAGGTGGCAAAGACGGCGTGTACAACATCCTCAAGGAATCCAAGAAGCGAGACATCCGCGGCGATAGGAAGCTGTTCGCAGTGTATGAACGACTAAGAGAACAACGAGGAGCGTCCTTGCCCGAAGGCGGAATCCCAATCAAGGTTGTCGCCCATGTCCCTTCCGGGGAGCGGCTGGTGGGGGTTTTCTATCCAAAAGACCAAAGAATAGTCCTGCTCGGATTGGGAGATTATGATGGGAAAATACTTGTGTAGTAACGATAGCAGGGAACAAATAGATGCACTTTGATTGGCAGCAACGAATAGCGTCCTCGTCCAAGGCCAGCGATTGCAAGTCTTATCGAACGATTTAGACTAGTTGCCATTCCGGGCCCCTGTTAGCTGATCGTCCTGATCTCCGCTTCCTGTTGTTACTGGTCATATTGCTTTCTGATCCTTTCGCTGCTTCGGTCTAGCTAGGTCGCCGACTTCTTGGGGCGGTCAAAGGACGGAACATGGGTGCTGAAAGGTAGGAAAGTCAGTTTCATCCGAACCTGGGCAAGAAGAATCCATTCACTGCCATCATACTTGCAGATGCGAGCATGTCCGGTTGACGCACCATTAGCTAGCTAGCTAGCTAGAGGCTACTTCAGCTCCCACAACAACAATTTGGCCATCATCTGACACGTCAACGGAAGCCCCAAAACGATCGCCTGGTTCCTCACAATGAATAGACTTGTCATGAGAGCACTACCGATTGTTTGCTACCTTACGTCCTCCGTTGCCCAGGCTTCATTGACGTGGCATCGGGACGTAGGTACTGTAGCCGGGTAGCTGATGTTATAGAAGATAAGACATAAGTTTTGGCACAAAGCGTGACCGAGTGCGACGTCAAGATTAACAACAGTGGATCTAGTTACGATAGTCAAACTATTGAGTGGGCTTCTCTCTTTCTTCCTGTCTTGAAATTGCCAGCGTGCTGAGGATGCTCTTGATACCATCAACTTTGAAGGGTTTGCTAATGAAACCGTCCCCGCCGGCCCCAGCGGCTTGTTCCTGATAGTCCTTCAATGCATGAGCTGTCAGAAACACAACCTTTGGGTATTCTTGACCCAGTTCTTCCTTCTTTTTGGAAATGATACGCGTCGCTTCAATCCCGTCCATGACGGGCATTTGCAAGTCCATAAAGAGAAGGGAGTAGTCCTTTTTCTGCCAGGTATCAACCGCCTTTTGACCGTTGTCCACCACATCAATCTCCTTGATGCCAATTCGTTGCAAGCATCGAACCAAGACTTTTTGATTGATGACATTGTCTTCTGCAATGAGCACCTTGAGATCTGCTGCTTCTTCGACGGCCAGGGCGGACGCTTGCGAATTGGCTTTCAAAATGACGGGGACGGACATGCTTCTGTTGATGCTCCTCTTCCTTCGTGGTTTGCCTGCACGAGCATGCAAGGAGGAGGAACTGCCAAGGTTTGCGGATGTAGCTGCCGTCACCTCCCCGCCCTCACTAGGGGGCTTGACGGGCAGCTTGACAATAAAGTTGGTGTATTTACCGTATTCACTCTCCAGAGTAATGTTCCCTCCCAGCACTCTAAGGAGTTTTGAAACCACCGCCAATCCCAAACCAGTTCCCCCATGCGCTGGTTCGTTGGTCGCTGCTTGCTGGAATGGTTCAAATATCTTTTGTTGTTCTTCCTTGGCAATCCCCTTGCCATAATCCATAATGGAGAACTGAACAAACTCCCGCTTGCTGTTGCCTTCTTGTTGCACGACCAGACTGACAGTCAAATCCAAATACTCGCCCGTGACACCAAACTTGACTGCATTTCCCAGAAGATTGAACAAAATCTGATGCAGACGTCTGCCATCTGTCTCGAGGACCTCTGGGACGTTGGGATGATGTCTACACCGAAGTTGTAGTCCAGCCTTTTGAGCCTGCGTCCGGACGGCGGCCACTACGGCCCTCAAGTGTTGCTTGAGTTGTATGGGTCGTATTTGTGTCTTGACAATGCCATTGTCTTCGGTCGACAGCTTACTGAAATCGAGGACATCATCGACGACTGCCAAAAGAAGATCAGCCGACGTAGTAATCATTTCCAAGGCTTCTCTGGTTTCCGGAGGATGATCGGGGTCATCCAACAGCAGATTGGAGAGTCCCACCACGCAGTTGAGTGGTGTCCTTAGTTCGTGTGACATCATGGCAAAGTGTCGCAGTTGCTGTTGTGAGTTTTGTTTGATTTGCTCATTGGCCTCGGCGAGTTGTTGATTGGCCATGGCCAACTCTTGGGTGCGTTTGTCGACTTGATCCTGCAGTCGTCCCATGAGTGTGGACATGACAATCTCGTTGGTGTGGCAGCGAAGGACGGTCGACAGTGCCGCCAGGGATTGCTGAAAGGATTCAATGTGGTGTTCGGTAAAACCGGCTGGTTGTTTGGAACTCCATGCCAAGGCTCCCTTGAACTCTCCCCGATGGTACATAGGAAGTGCATAGTAGTCCTGGTAGTTTTCCTGGGTAAACCAAGCACACCCCGGTGGAACCTCATCTGGTGGAGTGCTAGTCGAGGACATGCGGTATTCCATGGCGCGTCCTTCCATGAGGACAGCAAATGGTTCGTTGGGGTTATAGCTTGGCTTTTCAAAGGCTTCATGAGGTACCTCGTGCTGATCGACTGTGTTTGGACTACCGGCTTCCCATTTCCAGACATAGGCAGAGACTTCCGGGGGCATCATCATTCCTGCCACAAAGAGTCGATCCAGAGGTATACCCATTTCATGGCGTAGAAAGAGACAGTACTGGGTCAGCAACGAGGGGACATCTCTCAAGTGCCCACCTTCTAGAAAGAGCCACTTTTGTACTTGATCCACAATGCTGAGGATTTCATCCTCTTCTTTGTCGGGTCCATTAGGGCTGCTACTACCGGTAGTGTTACTAGAGTGGCAATCATCTTCTACAAGAGCAGGATCGTCGTTCGCAAGTCCAAACGCGGCAAGCTGAGTTCGAAGGGACCGAATCTCACTATCTTTAATGTCATTCTCGGTTCGTTGCAGAGCCAATTGCGCCTCCAACCCCGCGATTCGGGTATGGAGCGCGGTCATTGTGGAGCTTTCCTGTGAAATGGGAATGGCAAAGGTAGAGCAACTGTCGCTGTCACTCAAGAGGGATGTATGGCAGGTGCTATTCTCAGTCCAATCCGAGGAATCAGGGACTTTTATGGAGACTTTTCGCACTGGAATTCCGCTTGTTACTTCTGCCATGGTTGAGTTTGGGGTTAAGTTGTGCCTTGCTCGTTTTTTATGGAAGATACAACGGGGAGACCCAGCAGTGGCTTGGATCCTTGGATGATGGTTGTGTGAGGTGTGTGCGGTTGGTGGCCTTTCGGAGTTTTTGCTGGTCGGTGTTTGGGGGACCTTTGTGCCTGGTTGAGTTGTTGAGCTGGTCAGGCTGGTCGGCGAACGGAGAACAGAAATTAAATGTTTCAATGGTCCGAAGTGGCGACTGAAAAGACGATGGAATGTTTCAAGGGCCATAGCCATAAAACACTTCAGGAAAATGTCTTTCGTACAAGGCTGAGGTGTTCTACTCTGGAGTAAGGAGGAGAAGGATCCATTGGAAGTCTTTAAACCCGAAAAACTAAAACAATGGTTAAAAGAATTCATCTGGGATGGTCAATGAACGACTGGACATGATAAGACTATTCAGCCAAACTGGAGACATTAATGTACGTCGCCAGGAAAAAGAACAAGAACATTGGCGACTGACTTTGTACGAGTTGAGCAGTCATAGTCCATAATAGCTCTATTAATCCAGCTTCCGCGACCACTGCACACACGACGATGCACACAGTTCCACCATCGCAATTGTTCCTGGGGTGCCGGCTGCTCACAGACAGATCCAAGACCACAAGCCATGAACATGCTGCCACGGCTCCCTGACGAGGATGCAAGCACGCAAGCACTGGTTCCTGAGAAGATCTTACCTGTGTGTGGGGAACTGCAGGTACCGTAGCCATGTAGCCATGGTCCTCCATAAAAGTCATCATTTGATCCAGAGCATTCGTTCTTATGGACGCTGGGGTTTGCTTGTTCGCTTGTTCTGTGCGATTACGGTAGCTACATGTACGTGCTTGGTCGCACCACCACGGTAGAGCTCACGGTAGTATCCACGAGCTTCTTTAACAGTTCCTCACGACCACGAGCAGCCAACGATTATTCTTTGGCGCATGCAAACTCCATGTTCCTTTTTGCGTTCCTTTATTAGTAGAAACAAGAAACAAACCATGAGCTCCAGCGCTCCAGCAAGCCCTAGAATTTCATCCGGGTTTTACTACGACCTGGTTTTGGCACTGAGATCGGAGCTAGCTAGCCAGGCAGCCACTGTAAAAGTTTGTTGGAGGAGCTTCTGAACTTAATCCCTCCGGGGACTTTGTAATTCCTAAGTTAACTTGTTGGAGGAGCTTCTGAAAGCTTGTGCTGTCAGATTGGGCCGTCGCCTTGAGTCTAACAGCGGACGATACGTGGATTTCATTCTACTTAGTTGCAGGCTGCCATTGGAGCTTTGATGCATGGGAAGCATCAGCCACTTCATGCTAAAGTGGTTTCGCCTCGGGATCAAAGAAGTTACGTCCGAATTCTCACAATTCCAATTGTTCAAAATTCCAAACTCACTTGAATTGAGCTACCATCAATTTTATTAAGAAATGGAGGGAGCAATTTGGAATGTGACGAAGATTCGATTCGAGCTTCAAGTAATCAGATTGCCTGCGGCCAAAATCAAGTATCAACATGTGAATAAAAGAAAGGAAAAGGATTTTCATAGATGATTTTGTTTCCCTGGTGGTTGCGGCGAGCTAGGCTCTGGGAAAGCTTTTGCGTTTCTCAATAGTATTTCAGCCTGACAAATTACACCCCTGATCAATTTCTGCGGGATGCGCTTGCAGAGCGGGACCACAGCAAAGCTCCTTTGATTGCTTGACAGAGAAATAAATTTTGAAGCACGGACGGAGTGCGCGCAGGAATTGCAAGTGCCGCAGAACACAACTCGGAAATCAGATTGTTTGCTCCTCAGAAAGCAAGAAGCAAGAGGTGCACCCAAGCCATGATCAAGGCTGCTGCTTTTTTAGCTTTGCCACTTCGGTGCGCCTCACCCCAACTATAGATAATCCCACAATTATCTTTCCGAAATCATTTGTCTAGCTGGCCCAAAAAATTCAAATCGTCCATGATGACCATAGCAACTGCTACAAGTAGAAAACATGGTGATTCTACCGCCACAAAATGGCTTCCGAAGGGCATCACAACCATGGCGTTGCTCGGCCTCCTGGGACTAAGTTTTCAACGGAACAATCTAAATGACTACGTGAGTGCGACCTCAAGGATGGCTTCGACGATAGAGTCTTCTCCAGCAAGACAAGAAGACAAGGGTGTTGACTACCAACCTTCGAAGATTGAGCAGTACATCATTTCACACATGGCTGCACTGGGATTAGATAAGAAAGCACCCGAACTCGTCTCAACCTGTCATTTGTGGAACCAACATAATTCTACACCATATCACAAGGAAATGCATGAATTTGTGGCCAATCTCGAAGAATACTACAAGAGGATTAACGAGTTCTCGATGAATGTAACAGATCTGCGACAGCATTTCGACAACAGCCGCAATGATATTTGCGACACTCTCGAGCTCCACAAAGAGGGACTTCCAGCTCTCTTTCCCAACAATAAGCTATCTTATACCAGGGCTGGTTGGGTGGAACCCCTGTTGCCACCGCAAAGACATCCTAATTGGTGTATCGACGGGACACAAAACAGTTTGGCAAGCATTGAATACCTCATTCATGACTTTGGCCAAATGTGCCGCCAACTAAAACCAAACTCTCGGACAGTCTTGTTTGACATGGGGGCTAGCCTTATGTTTAGCACAAAGTGGCCTTCACCCGTTTTGGCTCTCGTTGCTTTGTTTCGCAAGTTCGGCATCCCCTTTGATCATATCTATGCCTACGAAATGACAAAACAGGACCCCCAGAAGGTTTTTGAAATGGTCCCAGACCACATGAGTGCTGCGTATCACTGGATCAATGTTGGAGTGGACCCCGATCCACAAAGCAAAAACAATCCTTTCAACCTGCTCCTGGATAATTTTAACGAGGACGATCTTGTCATTGTCAAACTTGACATTGACACGCCGTGGATTGAGCAAAAGCTGGCTCATCAGCTACTCGCCGATGACCGACTCTTGCGTATTATTGATCATTTCTACTTTGAGCACCATGTGAACCAAAAGGAACTGGCCCCGTATTGGGGAAGAATGGGAGAGACTGTGGAGGAATCCTTGACGCTCTTTCAGGAGCTCCGTAAGAAAGGAGTGGCAAGTCACTTCTGGACCTAGTTTTATTGGTACGGTACGTACCGTATAACAACTCACGCTGAGGTAAGAATAACCTTAGAATATTTTAATCCCTTCACTGGCCGTCTAGTCATGTGCAATCGTTTGGCACAACTCCACGGCACGGGAAAAGACTCGTTCTACAAGCTTGGCGTCGAGGCCTCCGCCCACAGATGCATTCCATCGCAAGCATGTTGGCTCCGAATGAATCAAACAGCTGACACCATCGTATCCATCAAATCGTTGGGCAGTATAGAGCTTGGTATTGTCGGGTATTTGGCAGACTCCCAGATTACTCAATTCCACAGTTGCCGGTGGTCCTGCCCTGTCAAACTGACCTTGTGCGAATGCCAGTGCCGCTCGATGGGCTTCACCGCGTTGAATCCGAGCACGGAGTTGTCGTGTCATGCCAATGGACCTCTCCCAAATACTACTGCTAGTAGTGTTGTCCCGGTTGTTGATGAATATATTGTCTGTCGAGTCAATGAGAGTCACATGACCATGCGCCGCATTGATTTGTTCGACCTTTTCGACTGGGCGCTGCAGATAGGGTCGAAGATCCACCAGCATGGAGACTCCAATGTCTCTGTTTGGGCTGGAATTTCCCTTGATCGTACGGTATTCCATGGCAAGACTCTGCATGATGACTGCCACAAACAATCCACTCAACGTAGCCCCTTCTGCTTTCTGCTTGAGAACTTGTCGCAGCTTTGTTACGATCTCGACCGATATTTGGTATCGAAAACTCTCGTCGCCTTTGGATGTCTTCTCGGAAGAACAGAGTTCTTGGATGGTGATTGTATTGTTGTTGGGCCCCAGTAAAAAGGGTGGATCTTCCTGCCAGGTATCCATCTTGGTGGCTTGAAGCATTTCCTTCAAATCCGGTAGTTGGATATCTTTCCAGTCCTGTGCCGCTTCCAAAGATTTCTCCGTGCTCATGGTAGATTGTGTTACCAAGTTGGTTAAGGATCGACCATCGCAAATGGCGTGATTTGCATTCACATAGAGCACCAGGCCAGTGGAGCCACCAGCCTTGGGTTGATATGGAATCAACTGGATGGAAATGGGACCTTGGGCTGGCAGCGTTTCCTGGAACACGAGTTTGTCGAGCAATATACTAACATCCTCATCATCTTCCAACAAGACACCTTCCTTGACCAGGACAGTGGCCGTTGCAGTATTATCGGTATCCGTCACCAGCGACCATTCACCAGTACCAGTCTCTGCCAGTGCCAAGTGTCCCAATCGGCAGGATTGACAGGCAGCCATTGCTGATTTCAAGACTTGCTCTTGCTCGACAGTCACTCCCAAGTCCACCATCAGTGCAAATCGAACATTGCAAGAAGCAAACAGAGCTTCCAGTCCAGTCAAAGGGCGTTCTGTTCTCATGGTGCGCTTAGCTTACAGCTACCAGTACTATTATTATTTGTGGATGCATGTCAAATGCAAGCTACAATGCGACCTTTGCAGGATGCGTTGGTGGGTTTCTGTTAGTTGTTGGAGGTTTGGTCGAGTTCTTGGAACATTCACAATGATTCTATTTGACTTCGATAAAAAGATTCAGTGAGGTACCGGTAGAGTTGTTGGATTTGGTCGAGTTCTGAGCAATCTTTGAAGAATGTCGATTGAAGAAAGATTCGATTCGATTTGAAGCACGACTGCAATAACCAAGGCGCACAGTGCCTCCGCTCAAGAACTCGACAGCAATTCTCACAACGAGATTGGGTGTCTGGTGTCATGGTGATTCTTCTCCACCTCTTCAATCTCTTCGACCCCACCCTTTGTTTCAAGGAGCGGCACTTGCTTTTCCAGGACGCAGCTGTACTAGTATTGATTTCGTAGCATTTCAGCCGCCACCATGGAGACATCCCATCACGAAGTAGCGTTGGGGGCGAACGCTGACGCCGAAGTGCGGCGATTGCAGGCTCATTTGGACGCCACATTCATTTCGATTGAATCTTACCTGGCGTGGATGCCCGACGAGGAGATTATTCAGATCTTTCAAGCTGTGGGACAATTGCCTCACTTGACGACGTTCCGAATCAGTTTTTCCTTTCAACGATTTCGGCAACTTCCCGTGTTGCCTCTTCCCAGCCAAGCACTGTTGGCGACCCTCCAAGCGGCACAAGGATTAGAAACACTCACGCTCGACGAAGTTCGCTTTGTCTTTCAGAACAATGAGGATTTGGAGGCTCTCGCACAGACGCTCCAACAAGCACCCAATCTCAAGAATGTGACACTCTTCAACTGCTTCCCAGTAGAACCACCGCCCTTGTTGCCACCACCAAATCTTCGTGGCATGATGCCGGTTGAAGAAGCACCAAGCACGCTCCCTCCCGATCCACTGGCAGCGGCACTCTCTCGTATTCCCAACCTGCAGGAACTCAACCTCATTTTTACATTGGAAGGACCCGCATGGATCTCTGCTCTCCTCCGACAGTCCTGCAACTCGCCCAGTCTCAAAATTTTGAGAATCAACGTCCCCGACGGATCTTTCCTCGGTGGCGGAGACCCGATACGGAACATGTGTCAGTCTCTGCAAAATTCACAGTCCACCTTGAAGGAATTGAGTATTCGTTGTCCACTCGACGACGATGGTGGTAGAGCGCTGGCACGGGCTCTGTCGTCCCCGCACAATACATCGCTGCAAGAACTCTACATTCAAATGAAGAGCTACCAACATGCCATCCCCATTGCGCAAGCACTGATCACCAACAAACGTCTCAAATCGTTCGAACTGCGAGTATGGACGGGAGGGGATCGAGGTCCCTTGCTGGAAGCCTACGAAGCCATGGTGCCACACAATGCTGTCATTGAACAATTAATCATTGACAACGGACGACTAGGGTTGACGCCGCTCATTGACTTCTTTTTGGAACTCAACAGGGCAGGACGCCGTGGTTTGCTGGAAAATGGTGACAAGCTAGAGAAGAGTTCTTGGATTGACTTTTTGATTCGATTCCATCCCAATGCGAGTGTCTTGTTTTATACCTTGTCGTTGAATCCGTCTCTTTGTTATACTTCTTCCTGTGACGAGAATGACAACGATGTCGAACCCATGATGACGGACGACGAACAAGATGACATGTGTGAGGAACCAAGCCAGAAGAGGCCAAGGCTGCAGGATCAACAACAACTACAGCATGACGCCGCCTCTTCTGACAGCAGCAGCGATGCTATGCGCACATAGTTAAAATGCTATACATCTAACAAGCTGTCATTATGCAGTAACAACGTAGCCTCGCAGTGCCCCAGTGATTAAAAGTCGTGTTGTTTGACTGGGTGGCATCAGCAGGGCGGAGAAGGAGATAGCAACAATACAGTATAAAAAACACACGCTTTTAAAAGGGGGTCAGTGAGGTCACCAGAAGGACATCCACTTTCCAAGCTAATCCTGCAAGGTTTGTGTTTACAGAATGCACACCTCAACTTGACTGCGAAAGCAAGTCATTTCATCCCATGGGCATCCCATTCTCGCGAACATACTTCAGCAATTCCAGGAGGTGACCAGCAAGAGCTCCACCATTACAAAAATTGCATCCCATGGCTCTGCCATGGTCGTGAGTCCAAATCAAAACTACCTAATGGCCACAACAGGCGACAGCACAGCATGTAACCTTGTCTCATGGACAGTTTTTTTTCATGGAGCCCATTTGAGGACATCCAGCTGACATATCTCACAGCCCCGGTACAAATTGTTCATCCCACGGACAGCCATTGTTATTAGCCCAGCTCAACATGTTGAGGTGCCCACCTTCAGCAGCTCCAGCACAAGTGCTTTCATCCCATGGACACCCCAGCTGCTAAACCCATTTCAATTCTTCCAGATGGCCACTTCTGGCTGCTGCACTGCATGTAAAATCATCCCAAGGCCCCACCAATGCATTAAGCCTACTAGTACTCGAGTACTTCCAACAGAAGAGCATGTTCCTTCATCCTAGGGACAGCCATTTTCATGGATATACTTCAGGATTTCCAAATGCCCACCCCTTGCAGCACATGCTCTGGTCCAATCATTCCATGGACCGCCGCCATGTTCAGCAGCCATGAGCAAACTTCAAGACTCTCAAATAACCACATGCTGCTGCTGCAGTGCAGGTTGAGCCATCCCATGGACCATCAATTAATTTTCATGGGTATACTTTGGAATTTCCAAGTGACCACCTTCAAGTTATGAGTTTCCTCCTCTCCACAGAACAAAAGCTCATCGTGTCGTTTGCCCGCTCTGGACGTACAGCGTGGAGAGCATAGCGTGGACAATTTTTTGGCGGAAAGGGGGTCACGTGCAACCACAAGTAATGGCGGGGAAGCCTTCAGTAGCAAGTGGTGGTAAGCCGGTACCCCAACACAGAGAACCATGCTTCGGTCGACTCTAGCTAGCGCTAGTCCAGCGGTCTCTGTTCTTCGGCTCATAATATGTTCGATTCACACTTGCAGCTCAGCTGCTGATTGTGATTAGGAGCCATACATGTAGGTTAGGGGTGCAGTAGGGTGAAGCCTGTCACAAAACGCAGCACAACCGTGGACACTCATGTAGTATCTGTTCTTTGCTGTTGGTCGATCAACCAGGCGAGATGCTCTGGATCGCTGGCTAGCTACCAGTAGCTTTGAGCTCTTGTTGGGTTCCGTTCAGGGAATAGCGAGGGTGCATCGTTTTGCTTCTTCAGAGAATGTGAAGGACGTCCCATTGGCAAGCCCCTCCGTCGGCAGTCGGCAAAACCAACCCCCGGAGTTCTTTTCGCCGCAACAACGGATTGAGCTCCGTGGAAACCTTGCCATGTTGAGAACACCGCTGGGCTGGGGTGCGATTGCAATGACTTGTAAATAACTCTCAGATTCACTGTAACCTCAAGACGTCACTAATCGTAAAGTAACTTCAATGGTCAACTCAGTGTTTTATTAAGTCTTTTCTCCAGAAGCAATCATTTTCTTTACGAAAGTTCTTATCGTCATTTAGAAGGGTGGGCCCAGCTTTTTACCCTACTGCTGCACGTCTGCACGTAACCGCACCTGTTTTCGAGCGTTTTTGAAGGCTTGTCACATTTTCAGCTAGCTGGAGAAGAATGAGTCAGGGCAATTGCTTGAGTGATACGTACCGTGATAACATCAACCACTCACATCTACTTGTATTTTAAATTTGTACTGGAGTGACTGACCTGTACTGTACAATGTGGTTTGCCAGTCGGTCAGGCCTCCGTCACCACTGAAGCAGTGAAAGGCGCTGGGAGTGAGTGGATGTCGCATGTGTTGTTCGCACCTTCGCTCGCTGACCTCGGCGAGATTCGATTCGAGGCTTCTCACAACAGATAGACTGGCCCCACAATCCCCAGAAACCATTCAACAAACACTGCAACAAATCGATTACAGCAGAAGCAAAACATGTTCAACAATAGCGCCAAGCAACAACTCTCCATCCTTGGGATGGAGATTTACTTTGATTCCTCCCTGGAAGAGACGGTGGCAGCCTGCTCCTTGTTTGATGCTTCCGACGCCGATAGTCTTTCGTTGGGACTCCGTAGCAGGAACGACGGTGACGAAGCGTCGAGCTTCAGCAGCGGCAGTGAATCTTCTGACTCATCGTTGTCGTCATCGGAAGAAGAAGAGGAGGAGGAAGAAGAAGAAGATGCTCCCAGTCGAACCAGCATTTCCTTGGGGCGCTTGAATCAATTGTACGATGATGACGCAGAAGACGAGGAAGACGAGAGTGACAGGGAGGACGACGACGACTCGACATTGGGAGGGAAATTCGTGGTCGATGAGGAATACTCGTACCTGGCGTTGTCGCGCCTAGACTTGTCTGACATGGCCGTCAAGCCAAAGAGAAAATCACAACCAGACAAGAAGCAATCAGACGAGAAGGCGCCTGTATCGAAGCAACAAGAGCGTCGAGAACGACGAACCCGTCGAAGAAGCAAGGGAAGTCTTCAAAAAAAGTTGGCTAGCGAAGACGAAACCAAGCTGACATTGAAGGGGTTGACCTTCAATGGTGCCCTGGCGCAAACAGCCTGAGCACTGCCAACGATGTTTTACTCATCACTTTGCACATATTGTTAATCGCTTTGCACATTTTTGTTAATAATCATTTCATAAACTAGCTCACCTGAACATAATATAATATTAAAATCACAAGATTGTCGCTACAGAGCATCTGATACGTTCTAGCTAGCTAGCTAGCTAGGTAGTACTAGTAGTTCAATTAACTTAACGAACAAGCCGAGTCCACATGAACGTCTGAGAGACACATCTTCCAGAACAACATTCGGCATCGATGAGCAAGCTTCATTGAGGACCACTCGACAATCATCTAGCGAGGGTTGGAGCGATGATCCTCCTACGTCTACAGGGAAGACAGCCCAGTAAAGAGCAGAGGCAGCCAAAACAAACACCGTGGCCCTCATCTTGACTGCACTTGGGCTGTGGCATGGATTATGCGGCCGCAATTCAAATCCAGTAAGGCATCGCACGCTGAAGTGGTGGCTGCATACTGTAGTTCGATTCCGCTATGACATACTAGCTAGCTACCTCGAGTGCGTGATGCTAACAAGGCTACTTGGACAAGAGCCCAGACGAGCCACCAATTCCCGATTGCCCGACCGGAGGCCATTCTTCTCATGTGTCAACTTGGTACAACTACTCCTGGTACACGACCTCAAGAACACTAGCCTACCTGGATTCGATTGAATTCATTCCAATCAAAAGAATCATGACGAAGAAATGTGTGAAGGGGGGTTCAGGAGGCCAGTGTGTGAGGAATCGAACCCCTTCAGTTCCCATAGACATGAGAGACCTTTAGAAGACCTTTAGGTATGGACTGATTGCTGTATGCCACCAGGTGGTAGATGACTTTTTGACTGTACGTAAAGCTAATTTTGAGGGGCTGCGTTCAAACGTGTGGTGTGGCAAAAGTGCGGACAAGTCTGGTTTGCAACGACACGACAATCGCAACCCCTCTACTAGCAGAGGTTGCAACGCCGTGAATGAGCTTCCACGCGGTGAAGCCAAAAGCTATGTTGGGTCGTTTGTGGTGGTCCTTGACGACAACCCCCTTATGACGAGACTGAGGAAGCAACCAAGAATCGAAGCGACTGGACTGTCATCGATCTCCAAATCGTTTACCAATCAAACATCCACCCAGCAGCATGGCTTCGTAGAGATTGACAACTGTTGAAGCCTTTCTTGTCATGAAACCAACAGCTTCTCACGATCGCGACGCAACGAGTGTCAATGAACGCATTGGAAGCAATCATCTCCCGCGCCAATGATGACACAGTCACGAATTGGCCCTTCGTTCAGTGCAGAGAGCACGAAAAGAAACCAGTCCCGAGGCCTAGCTCCACGCGAACCCTATCGCCATTGGCCTACCCGCAATGCGGGGCTGTCACTCCTCAAGAGCGAGGATCGATACTCCACTTTTTGGAACTCAACAACAACCACCACAATTTCGACGAAGCAAAAATCCTTCCACATCAAATCAAAGCATCAAGCAGCAACCCAGTGTGGAATCAATCAGTCCATCCGTCAGATTGTTCGTCCAGTACGGTAACACCTCTCAAGTAAAAAGGCCTGATCATCATCATCATGTTCTCCTCCTCGCTTCGTGTCATTTCTCCTCGCGTGAGCCGCTTGGCGACGGTTCGCAGTTTGTGTGCTCCAGCCGAACGCTTTCGCACGGTGCTCGAAGAGTATCGCCTGGAACACTTTTCTCGAGAGTTGCCTTCGCGTTTCCGCAAGGAAGTGGTCAAGGCGTTGATGACAAAGGAGGATGCCGCCAACATTCAGGTGGATTCTCTCAATTTGATTCTCAACAACATTGGTCGGCCGGATCAATGTCTGACGGAAGCTGAGATTGATCTGATCTTGCAGGACTTGGGTTGTGCGGCTCAGGATCGATCGGTGCCGGTCGACAAGATCCTTCAGTTGATGTGAGCTAGCCAGAGCTAGATAGAGAAACGCAAAAGATTAGGAAAAAGAGAATGCCATCAGCGGCAATGACGCTCTGGGGAGGGCAAAAACGGAACATGGATCCATAGAACAAGAATCCACGGAACCATGGACAACATCGCTGTGCGCTCAAGCAACAAACGAGAATTACATGAAAGACCTAGATGAACGCAGGAAAGGATGCCATACTACATGATACAAGAGAAAGCAAACTAAAGAAACTAGAGATGATACATACATTTGCGAGTACTCTCCTCCTTTTTACATTTTCCTTCTGCTGTTGAGTCTGCGTTCTCGTGTAGGAATTCATTTGCTAGCTAGTTGTTATCATGCAGGTATGTAATTCTTTCTTCCCCCCTTTCCGAGTCATTGACGTCTTACTGGCTGTGAGTGTCAGCCATTTCAAACCAGACTTGCTGATTGGACCGTATCGTGTATCCATGAATGATTGGATTGTCGCGGATCACTCTTCTCATACGGTATGAACCATGACAGGTACACATGTCAATGAATGATCCTGGCCAATCTTCTCTGCTCCAATCCCTTTTGCTGGTACCAAGTATGAGAAGGAGTTGTGTCAGCCTATTTCGGAACAACACAATGAGTACGGTTCTGCTTGTAGAAAGCTTGACAACCGTTCCAGTGGTTACACCCCAAGCCATCAAGCTAGCTTGGTTGCTAGCTAGATGCTAGCTAACGGGAACTGTCACAGGCTGATTGGCACCGTGGCTTCTTCTGCAACCTCCATTATGCACCATATGCCTGATCCAACGGCAATTGATAGAATGCCTCCATATCCACATCTGCCACCAGTTTCCCCTGCGCATGTTGATAGGGCATGCACTGGTGCAAATCCCAACCGCCACCTCGTATCCATCGATTGCGTTGAAATCGTCCCGTGACAAAGTGAAACTTGTCGCGGGTCGTGGGATCGTTAATGCGTGGTTTCAACAAGACGGCCCAAACATAGCGAAACAAAATGGGGGCATCCACAAAAGTCACGCGAAACAGTCGTTCGGGATAATGCTCCTTGAGCAATAGTACCAATTGTTGCAAGGCATCCATGGGTGGGACATGCAGTTTGGGTTGAAACCCTTTGAGATCGACGCTGACGGTGATCATGCCATCTGTATTGTGGGGATGCCGTTCCGAACAGGCAATGGCCTTTTCCAAAGTGTACAAAAAGGCCAGCATGCATCCCAAACTGTCATTGTTGCTATGGTGGTTGTTGTGGCGCATGATATAGTGAATGCAAGCATGTCCCTGTCGATCAAATCCCCGGACAAAGAGCTTGCCAGCATCCCCTCCCAGATAACCGGCAATCCGACGTTGGCGTTTCAGGGATTGCGGCGAGTTGTCATGGAACGTTTGTCGTGTCTCGTTGACCTTCCAGTCGCGGCGAAACTGCAGTGTTGCTTTGATTTTTGAGAGTGTCCTTTCGGTATTTCCCTGTTCCGCAATCAAGTGTCGTTGGATCAATTGGCTTGCATAGTCCAGCTGATCATTGCTGCAAATATTATTATTGTCAGTGACTGTGGTTGTACCTTTATTGGTGGAGTTATCATGGGCTTGAGTCTGCAAAAGGCAGTACTGATGAGACGCCATGGCAGCCGTCTCCAATTCTTGTTCTGATAGATTGTTGAGAATGTAGTCAATAGCATCATCAGTGGGTTGCTGGATAGTGCTGCTCTTGGAGGTGGTGGAGGTGGGTAGAAGAACAGAAGTACTAGTAGAAGGAGCGACAGTGGCACTTGTACAAGGTTCCATCTGCTGAAAGGATGAGGAGGAAGAGGAGGAAGAAGCCTGCGTGCCAGTGTTGGTAGGCTGCCTTTTGTTGTCTTGGCTATCTTGGCTAGTGTCTACTACAGACCGTAGATCGGAAGAGATAGACACTTGGTCATCCTCTTTGGACAGGGAATTTGTCAATACCACTTCAATGCCGTCCTGGAACTTGGGATGTAATGGTAGCTGTCTTTGACCAGTACTACTACAGGCTGTCGTAGCGTCGTCATCTTCTGCGCGATGATCATGTGATACCGACTCCAGATCGAGTAGTGTCTGGTCGTCTGTACAGGAGTACTGCTTCCAGGAGGAACCCCAACCAAACCTCTTTACTCGGCCAAAGAGCGACGATGGCTTGGAAGTGCGAGGTGCAGAGCGAGATGGCAGCATTGTGTTAACTGGAAGTCTATGACGGTGCCGTGGCAGATCGATCCTGGCTAGAGGAAGAAGCGTTTGTGTATTTGCGTGGTGACTTTTCCCCAAACCAACCGTGAGTATTGGCACACTAGAGTACTGATGTGGGCTGATGATGGAGCTGAAATCGCGTCGTTCAATGTGGCTTTGGATGGTGGCTACAGGCTACAGGAGATGCCGAAGCTCAAGAACTAAACTGAGTATGTACTCTGTACCCCGTCTAATCAGTTTAACAGCACAGTCCCATGCAGGCAACAAAAGGCGACGCTAAGCAGTGTGTGGGATTGTCGTGTCAGGTCCACTCTGTTGGACCATGTTGGGAATGCTTTTCTTCTTGTTGGAACATGGCCCATCAGGGGCTCTTGATTGGCTTGTGGATGTCCGACCGGGAGAAAAAGTGCAGCGTGGTGTACCGGTTCAATTAGACTAAAACCTAAAAACGGCGAGGAAAGCCGATCTTCTCGTTGGTTGCAATCCTACTGTAAATTTTGTGAGTTTTGCTTGTGACCGTTCAGGGTTCGTTTCGGCAAGCCGTTGTTTAAGTATTCACACGCAGAAGGGGGGCGCTCGAACGCAGAGTGACCATTCAAGCCAGCCGATTGGTCAAACAACATAAAATTTAATTCGAACCCCTGCAAGTGCTTCATTACATGGAGTCGACGTCCTACAGTACAGTCGTACCCTCCAGAAGTGAGCGGCTCGGCTATCGATAATCGAAAGGAATGTGACATGAGGCAGTTTGGGAATCTTCCAGTTCCAAACCAACTACTGTATCATCTACGGTACAATGCCACCCACACAGTACCACACTATCCATTGGCAGGAAAATTTGGAGGAAGTAAAAACCTTTTTTAAATGAAGCCTCCGCCCGACCTGAAAACAATTACTCCTCCCTGTCACTCTTTGGAACTCAACAAGTCTGGATGAGTTCTCGAAACTAATGAGAATCACAATGGAATAGGACCCTGTCAATCAACCCAGAGCACGCAAGAATGCAACCATTCTGGAACCTAGAATCCTTACGTACTGTACCTCTCGGGCATCTGAATGACGAGGAGAGATGATGAATTGAAACGATAGTATGCAAATGCCCATACTGCTGGTTGCAGAAGTAGGAGGAGAGTTCACGGTGTGTGTGACACGGGGGACAATGCTGCACCAGAGAAACCATTGCGTGGTCATTTTCCATCTCGTTTCACTGTAGTGGTTTCTTCTCATGGGCACCAGCGCAGTATTTTGTGGCTGCGTCAATAGCAGAAACTTGCCCCATGCCAAGAAAAGAGAGAAATTTTTTAAAATTGTGGACCCAAAGATCGTATTTGTTCACAGCTGCACTGGCAGAAGAGGAATGAATTGGGCGGAATTTTCAAGTGTTCGCAATTGTCTTGCGGTTGCTTAACCAGAATCCAAAGCATGCTGGCTGGCCGATGGATTCGTTTTCTAACGATTGTGGTTTTGATATTCAGGGCATATTCCTTCAGATATCGATACATGTAGGTAACAGCCACCATTGAAGGTGCCTACAAGATGCAACTGTATTCTCTCCTTTCGTGTTTGGGGTGCTGGTTGATTTTTTGGTGGCCTCCGAGTTCGGTATGGTACTTGTACCGGTTCCCGAAAAAGAGTGGAATCTGCACGTGCACATTAACCAGTTCCAGCTTCAACTGATTTTATTCGCGATTTTACAAAGATTTAGGTGATTGCGCACCATTTAGTCGTGCCCTCCTTGGCACAGGCACGTTCTGTGAGCGCAGCTGTGGCGTTCTCTGTTCTCTCTGAGTGATGAGCGATTGACGCAGGTCTGACCAATCTTGCACACCTGGTTTATTCCAGAACATTGGTGTCAAGCTCACAAATTTATCAGAATCGAGCAATCTCACAATAACCATCATCACAAATCAACAATCAAGACCCAAGACGACTACTATTCCCCACCAAGACCCCACAAATCACAACACTATGAATGCCAATATGCAACCTGAACACGAAACCAGCCTTTCCTTTTTTGCACGAACTCAGAAGACGACACGATGGAACCACAGCCCCATGGTGTACGCAATGATCAAGGGAACCCGAATGGACAATTGCGACGATGTACAAGCTATACTTCGCGAATGCAATGCTACCAAGGCCGACGACAGCATCTGCCAAACTGCGGAAATGTACCTGAGTGCTTGCCTCCGAAAGTAGGTGGGCTGCGGGTCTTGTCATGGATGGGACATCTCTTTCCTGGATACCCTGCCTCTTGACACCTCCATCACGAAAATGCACCGAGATTTTGTCTCTTGCATGATCCCACTGCTACTACAACACCATGTCAGCACCGCACACTCAGAACGCTACGCATCAACACGCACAAATAGAAACACCCTAGTAACAATAGAACACGAACTCAACTCTGAGCAATCCACCGGGCACGACTCGGACCCCTTTCGTACGGTATATTTGTGTCACGTTTGCTTGGTCCATCCTTTTTTTGATTCGGCTGCCGACAATGGCAATGGCAACATGCCGCGGCTCTGGGTCAGTCTGTGTTGAGACGGGATTTCCCATAGTTTTTGCCGTGCAGGGCAGTTGGTGGCTGGGTTGTCACTGAGGCGTTGGCGTGGTAGTATGGTTGCCGTGGCTCTGTCGTGCTTCGTCGATCTTGCTCTTGTCGTCCTATTGGTGAAAACGATACCGGTACAGATCGATTGTAACTTGATTTGGAACAGTAGTAGGTGGCAACCTTATCTTTTTAACTAGCTAGGAGCTACGGTTCTTCCTTCCCAACTTGCTTTAAAAACTAAGCTATTAATAGAGGGAAGATTCCAACCGGCATTGCATGAACATGATGTTGTCCAGAAATGATCGATCTCCCGCAAATTGCACTGCCCAGCTGTACCGGTAAGGCAGGAACAAAAACCTTGTCCACTCAACTTATCGTGGTTTCTGCTGGTCAAAATGACAAAACAAAAAAGCAGAGCTCTGTTCTATCTATGCCGTCGTAGTAGTCTCCTGGAGTCGCTCCAATGCCTTTTCCAGTTCCAGCGCCATGGCCGGTGCCGTGATTCGCTTCTTGGCATCATGCTCATACGCTCGATCGACCAAATCGGCCAATAGGGCCGTACTGGTCCCAGGATGTCGCAGGGGTGCCCCAATCGGTGGTTTGACCCCATGCTTGACGGCTCGTTTGACTTGCGAGGATGGCAAATCCCCCCAGGGTGCCACACCCGTCAAAACACCATATAGCACATTGGCCATGCTGTAGGTATCCAACTGTTCTGTCAATTCCTGATCCTCATATTCTTCCGGCGATCGATGTCGTCCAGGAGCCGAGGGTATTCGAAAGGTGCAACTTTGGTGTGGTGCTTCCTTTTGATGTCCCATGAATCGACATCGATTGAAATCATTGAGTTTGACCACTCCTTGAGTTGGATCAATGAGGAATTGTTTGTCGGCCACATCCGCATGAACAATGGGACCACCCGGCACTTGATGAAGGGCTGCCACTCCCTTTACCACTCCCAAGGCTAATTGTAGCATTTCTTTTTCGGTGCGCTGGATAGACGGTTTTTCTTGTTTGAGTTGATGTGCTCCAATGGCTTGTGGATCGTAGACATCATCATCGGTATGATACAATATCTGATGAAGATCACTGCCAACATATTCCGTCAATACAGAATTTCCACAATATCCATAGATATCCACAATATTGGGTGCACTGGTCAATCGTTCCATGGCCAAGGCATCGCGTCGATGTCGTTCGAAATTGCGCATTTCCACCTTGTGTTCGGACTTCATCATTTTCAAGACGCCCACGGATGATTTCTTCTTATTGTTGTTGTCACTGTTATCCGTACCATGAACCAACCATACATGTCTCCAATATCCCGCTCCCACATACGCATTATTGTCATGTACAAATGCTTGGTAGAGACTGGTTTCATGAATGTCATTGCAATTGGGTAAATTGAGTGCTTGCCACGAGGACCGAACACATCCCGGTAAGAGTGCTTCTCCTCGAGACGCTTGTCGAAATGCCTTGGCGGGTAATTTAATAATATCAATAAATCCATCCAAGGCATCCGATAGAAATGTCCCCGCTTGTTCCAGACTCGATGGAGCTAGTGGAGCACTCTTTTTTCGTTGTTTTCGCCGTTGGTGGAGTGACAGTCGTTCTCGCTGCTGTGTCGATTGTTTGACGGAATCATAGACATTTCCCGTTTGGACAATTAGCCAAAAGACAAAACAAAATACCAAAAAGAGTGTCGGCAATTGCTTGATTATAGTACGACGGTGTCGTTTGCATGTTCGCCAAAGACGAGATACTGCCACACACGGACGTGTCCCATCATGGCGATGGTGACGTCTGTGATTATGCCGTCGGCTGTCGTGACTATAACTGGGTTGGATGGCAATGGTAGTGGCAGTATTGTTGTTGTTGTCATCGGATCGATTGCCAGATGCTGGAGCCATGCGTCGTCGGAACGAGACTGGTCGGGTCGCATTATTGGTAGCATTGTTGAGTGCTCTACCAGACGCGTATCCATTCTCCAACTCGCTGTCACTGCTACTGCTGCTACTGGAAGAGAAAGAGTCGCTGTCGGAAGAGAAAGAACCCTCACTTGGATACCCTGATTCTGATCTACTATTAATAGTACTGGTAGTCATGATAAATAATAATAAGCCACCACTGGTATCAACAAGAAATGATGAAAGAAACAATGCTGGTACCGGTATGGTGGAGGCTGTGAGAGGAGCACGGCAAAGAAGAGCCCTCGTCCAACGGATCTTTCGCACATGGAGCGAGTGTGCATCCAGTAAGATATCGCCGTAAGTCGGACTGAGGACTCGACTCTTATAGAGAACAGACCTTCATACTTAGGAAACCGAGACCGGAAGGTCCAGGTTAAAGAGGTTGACCGAGGGGTGAGGTCGTTAAGTAACCGAGACCGAGGCGCGAGCCGAGGTCGAGGTTACTTAACGACCGAATCCCGAGGTCAACCGAGCGTTCCTAAGTTGAAGGTATGTTACTATGGGAAACCAACCGACGGTTAACGCCCAGGTTTCTTGAGCAAAGTAGCCGTTGGTGACCAACCATGGTAAACTGTACCCAACAGCGGTCGCGGAATTTCAGCAACAGGCCACACAACAAGAGCCACAACAAACAAGAGCCACACCAGCCCTCGCGGCGTTTGAGCGACAAGCGACAACCAACCGTATCATTAGTAGGCTTACCGCTGTTGCAGTATTACTTATAGTATTAGCAGTTGGCGTTGTTGTTGATGAGTAGCAGTTGGCGTTGGCGTTGTTATTGATGAGCACGTTAGGGCATTGGCCAACAAAACTGCTGGAACCACGGTAAAGAATAGTTTCAAACGATCCATTTGGCTTCCACGATCCACGACTGGTGGAGAAGGAATTGTGACCTTGAATCTTTTATTCTTATTTAAAGGACAATGTTCCCCGTCCTACATTTGAGGAAGAAAACGGTGGTCGCCCTTGATGGAACCTTTGTACTGAATTGGCTACAGTAAAATAAAGGTTTGGAACCAGGGCGAAAACCAAGGTGGTTTCTCACTTTACACGATGATTTTCTATCCAAGCTAGACTACTGCTAGCTAAGGTCATCCTGAAAGTAGGTTTCCCTTGAGATCAAGCTCTTCCTTTGCAATGGGTTCTCAATTTTGTTGTTGTTGGGAAAACGCAGCTTATTCTCCAATAAAGCCAGCTCGCAGCGGTTGATTGTTTGATTGCCATGTACCAGGTGCCAGTTTTCATTTCATTTCATTTCATTTCTTCTTTTAGGGTTACCATGCAAGCAGCAGCCACCGAAAACGAAGACGCCGGAAGGAATGATGATGCTGGCTCCAACCAACGTCCACCCCAGGTACCCGACGATCGTCGGCAGGAAGTCATGGCAGAGGGTGCCAATAATGCAGAAGCTGTAGCAGTGAACGGTGGAGCCAACGACGGTGAAAACAATAGAGAGAATCAAAATGATGATAGTGACAGCAGTGAAAGTGAGGAAGAAGAAGAGGAGGAGAATGGTGCTAACCCCGCAGGCCCTGCTGCCTTTCAGTTGCCCCTTGGCCCTTACGATCTTCATCGAATGCAACTCACAGCTCACGGACGAGCTGCGCCAGTGGGCTCTCAACATTAAACAAGCCATACAAGACGAACCCGAGCTGGATTCGATTCTGTCTCGGACTTTTGTGTGGCTCAACTTGCATTGATTGTAGGCCAAGGCGATACTGAAGCAGCTCTGGAGTGAGCACACAAGATGCAGTGCTTTCGACAAGAGTATGGAATCTTGGATACCTACCAGCATGGAAGACAAACTCTCCATGACTATATGGATGTATTCCCCCAGCTTCTTCTGTCATTCAGTTTCAACCATGTGTATGGGACATACGTCTTGGTGTTTGACACTGCCAAGCTGAACCGTACGCCAAAACCCTCAACACAAAACCAGGTGCCATGGCCGCTTGGCTGAGCGGAGAATACTATGTGTATCATTGCATGTCACCGGATCTGGAAGCTATCAGAACGGGTGTTGTGTTCATTGTGGAATGCGAAGGCTTGGAATGGAGCAAACACTTTGGATTGCAGATATTCAAAAAGTTCTGGCTTGAGTTGGGTACTGTCTACCCTTTTCAAATCAAACTGCTGCGTTGCTTTCATACTGGCTTGTGTTTCATATTGCTGGTGTCCATGGTCAAACAGTATTTGCCCGCCACGCTTCATTCCACGATTTCTGTTGGGAATATATGTGGCCTTGGGCGGTTGGACAATGTCTACTACTCACCGGGGGCTGAGATTGCTAGAGATGCGATTAAGACCCGGTTGGAAGAATGCTTGGACAGGAGGTACAGAAATGAGGCTTCCTTCTCTCTATGAGAATGACAAATCAACCCTTCGATATGCATGTATGCAATTGTGGGGTTGGCTTGGCTATCTGGCTGGCTAGCTTGCGGTAGCGAGGGGATTGAATCTTCAATCTCCTTTGGTTTTGGCTTTGCTAAGAGGGCAAACCTTTATGTCAAAAACAGGTAAAAACAAATTTGCGAGGAAGTAGCGCAAGCGAGCAGCACAACTGTCTACGCACTGTCACCAAAGTTGGATACGGTACTGCTAAAACAGGCAGTGGTCAACGCGCCTGCCATAAACGCGCCACATCCCTGAATGTCGATTCTGGTCCAACCACTGCAGCACTTGTTTTAATCCTAAAGTGTTGGCCATTGGACGTCCGTTCTCTCGCCTAGTTTTAGAACTTCCAAAGTCCGCATTGGGCTGAATAGACGCATGTGTTTGCATTCCATGAACTTCCGTTCTCACAAGCCTATATTAGTACTTCCAAATGGCGACTTTGGGCTGTTTCTGTACTACCTGTCGATCCATCCCATGGACAGCCACGTTCAGGAGCCCACTGCAACATTTGCATGCAAGCACATTCAGTGGCACCAGAACATGTACAGTACCGGTATGTGAATTCCAGGGGGCATCCATTGGTCCGAGCCCACTTGAGAATTTCAGAATGAACATTTCAGCCGTATCATAGCATGTATCTTCATCCCAAGGACATGCATTTTGACCTGCCCGTATCACAACTTTTTGACCCTTGGTTGCACCAAATTTGCATGTTCATCTATGTATCCCAGGGACAGCAATTCTCACATGCCCATTTCAGCATTTCAAGGTTCCCATTACTGACAGCAGCTCTCATCCATGGAAAACCATTTGCATGGGCCCCTGTTACAACTTCCAGATGGCGGCTTGGGTCCCTACCGAGGACTGGTTCTCTGTGAGATTTAGGGGGGGTTAGGCACCAGCGCGGGGGAGGGGGGGAAAAATGAAGAGGGAGAGGGTTATCCGTTGGATTCCTGATTCCCAGAAGATTCCGGTGAATTTCAGACATCACGAATGACGCATGTCATTCGTGATGTCTGAAGAACATGCTTTTACATATGCGAAGAGGGGGTAACGGCAGTCATTATAGATGTCTTCTAACAAAATGAGACATCTCCCCCTGTCTCAAGGCGATGGATGATGTCTGAAGAACAATGAATATGTCAGCAAGTACGTCAAACGTCAAAGGAATTCAAATGTCAAACGTCACCGGAATTCAAATCATTTCAACGGATATTTTGGCTCACTCGCTTTTTTTCCCTTCCTTCGCTCGCACCAGACCTTCCCACAATCAATAATCGTGGTAACAAGAAATCGATCGACGCATCCACACTCGGCAACAACAACCGACGCACAAGAAGCAACCGACACACAACAACGGAGCAACCATCGACAACAACAACAATGAGGATTGTGACAACTAATACGTTCTCCAAGTGGCTGCTAACTGTTAATCATGCATACCCATTCAATGAGCTGAGGGTCCCAAGGAATGGATTCACTTGCAAGTACATCATTGTGGAAGAACAAGAGCCCCACCTCACGAAGTACCAGAAGTTTCATTGTTGGCCCACAAATGAAGTGCCCGATCTTGAGGAGTTGATATACCAAGGAGCATGCAAGCCTCTTCCTCCTGACATGACAAGCATCATGGATTACATGTTTGAGTGGGGTATTCAGAAGAGTCCAAAATGGTACCATAAAGTTCTCTCGACAGTTTCTGAAATGCTGGAGGGGCCAGAACAATGTGAAAGGAAGGACATCTTCATTGAGTGCATCTATTGGTTAGTGAGGGAAATGATTACCAAGAGCTATGACTTCTACTCCAATGAAGGACAGATTGTGATGGATGCTTGGCATGGGTATTGTTCGCACTGGTATGATTACAACAACCAAATCTCCTTCAAGATATTGACTTTGATGAGTGAGACTTTTGTTGATGATTGCATTGAAGACATTCACAACCTTGGATTCTTGCAACCACACCATGCTGTCCATTGTGGAAGTTTACTGTAAGTTAATGGCTATCTTAGAAATGAATTTGAAGCATCTAAATATTTATTGATATCCATTTAATCGAGTCAGGCAGGTGGCATCATGAGGTGGTCTTCCTCTCCTAAGAGTCAACCATTGACAGTATCACTGACAGCAGCCATTTGGTGGATGTGGCTGGAAAGGAGATGGCTGTATAGGTTGGTATTGCCGCATTTGCATGGCGAGTTGCATCATTTGAATCTGTTGTTGTCGAAATTGAATCAGGTTACTCATGTAGTTGTTTGTTGTTTGTGCCACAGCTGCTTGGGTTGGTGGGGGGTGGTGGGGGTGGCGGCGGTGTTGCTGGTGTTGCTGGTGTAGGTGGTGGCTCGATTGCTGGTGGACTCAGTGGTGATCGAGTACATGCCACACAAAGACAACAATCATTTGGAGCATACTTCTGCCTTTGTGGTTTGAATGAAACAATGAACTCTGAAAAGAATCTCTCTGGCAAGGGCTCTGCATTAGGAAATGGTTCGTCGAGACCCACAGCCACTGCTAGGTCATTCAGGTAAGCCAACTCTGAATGGTTCCAGTATGGAACAACCTTTTCCCATCCAGCTGGAATTGACCTCCTTTCTTCCAGACTGATTCTTGACAGGAAGGCTCTCTTGTGTCGAATGTTGAGGTTGTATCTGGCTGTTCCAGCAAGGTTGAGGGCATCTGCTAGACTTCTTCTCATGCCACTATTGGCGAAATGGGCAAACTTGTCATGGAATGCTTCCAGTTTGGATTCTCCTCTCTTGACAGATACTCTGGGAGGCTGTGCTTGGAGTTGGGCGATGGTAGGATGGTGTCATACATGTCTTCCAAGGCAATGGATCAGCCAAGTGAGCGGCTTTGTCAACACAGTTCTCTACTGCTGGCTTGGTATCAGAAGTGAACAAGGTAAAGTTCTTCATTGGATCCAGTCGGCCCTGTCCTGGCTGGCTACCATCACTGGCAGTCACCTTGTATCTGCAGAACCACTGTTGCAACTTCTGTCTCATGGTCTCTGGTTCTCTCATCTTCTTCCTTAGATATTGGAGTACCTAGCTCGGAAGACCTTGGAAGCTTGCATATCTGAGATCTCTGCCATGCAATAAGTTTCTTGAAGGTTCAGTTCCAATACCCAAGTAGTGGACTGGAACCTCGCTGAAACCCTTCCTCAGGTACAGCGGTAGTCAGGCAGTTCAGGGAGCCTTGTCGTGCCTCAGGAGTGTTCCAACACCTCCAGTAGGCACCAAACAAGGACTTGGTCCTGTCAGTCAGAAGGAGGGCCAGCAGAGCTCTCTGCTGGCCCTTTGGGCCAGCTCCCTCAGGAGCTGGGAGCTTCGTTATTCAATCGTGCAGTGGCAGTCTGGGAACAGTTACTATCTGCTACCTCCTACTGCTTCTGCCCGGCCTCAACAGGATAGGTATCAACTGCTGCGGTATCAAAGGGGCTACAAGCTAATCAGGATCGGTCTCAATCTTTCGTACTATTTTCTTAACTATGTAGGAAAGGACGATCCTTTCTTGCTGCTTGCTGGAGATAAGCAAGCGCATGCTGGGTTGTAGGCCAGCATTGCTGTTGGAGCATATCTCTGACGGGATCCAGAGCTCTCGCTCCTAAAAGATTTTATCGCTCCCCACGAGTGCGTATGGATCCGCTCTCATGGGAATGCCACGATATACGACTAGTTACTAACTAACTATCTACAAACTCTCCCCATGAATGGAACATCCATGGGCCACTCAGCATCGACTGCTAGTGGAACACAATGTGAGATTGGGGTCTCACAAGTGGAGGGACTTGCATGTTGGTCGGTTGCTGACAAGGTGCGCAAAGGGATTGCCTGCTGCATCAGCATGGCCAGACTGGTAGGTGTCGGCGGTGCTGGTTGCTATCATAGCTGTTGTTTGTTTTCTTCATATGTAGACAAATAATCGTGGCTTTGCCACAGGCCGATTTCAGCGGTGGCAAGCTCTCAGTGGAGCGGCCTTCTTGCCCCGCAATCATGTCTCTTGACGGATGGGATGGATGGGCTGTACCAGACAGGGACGTAGTCTAGTTGCCGTCCGAAAATCCAGGGACGTGCTAGCAGCACAGACTGGAGGGCTCCAATCCTAGGGGCCATCATGGAAGCAAACACATGATGGAACACATGCAAACACTGGTGAACTCCCATTGCCTTGGAGGCAGAGGAGACTGAGACCTTGGTACTTGGGACCTCGGGCTCATCCTGTAGTGTGGCTGTG